TGCCCTCTTGTGTCAGTCTCCTTTTCTCTAGCTCCCTTCTTGCCTCCTCTGTTCACACCTGCTCCCAATCTGCTAATTAACCTGGTCTATGCTTCTTTCTCCCATTTATTCTCCTCCTGCTGAGTCACTCTTGGCTGGATATTCGTCATTACTGTGTCCTCTTCTTGTTGTGAGTAGGCTTGTCTTGATCCGATACGTGGATCGGATCGGGACGCCGATATTGCCAAAAAAATGCGTATCGGCAAAGCATGTAAAGTGCCGATCCAGTTTTTTTTTTTTAAATCCGGTCCATATTTTCCAGTTTCGCCGATTGAAAGGATCCATTCCACAATTTTGCGCCAGTGTTTCCCTGTTTTGCATTTTTTTTAAAACTTACAGTAATACTTGCACCTTTAACTGTTTACGGTTTTACTGCTCACTGTGCAATTTCAGATTGCTATTCATAATTTTGTCCAGTTTGTGTTTATCTCTTAATAAACAGGTAAGTTTGTTGTTACCAAGCATTGTGTTTTATTCAATCTCACCTAATTCAGCTGGCTAGATGTTATCAAGAGTACTAAAACCCTTTTCAACATGAGTCTTACAACTAAGGCTAAATACTTTAACTTAAACTTAAATACATGCTCGGATAGGCTGGTATCGGCCAGTATCGGTATCGGATCGGAAGTCCAAAAACAATATCGGTATCGGATCGGAAGTGCAAAAACCTGGATCGGGACATCTCTAGTTGTGAGTATTCTTGGTTTTGAGCATTTTTGATTTTTGTGAATTTATATTTTTGCTTCTGATAAACTTTTGTCATTAAACCATTCAAGTAACCACCTCAAGCTTTTGTCTCCTGTCAAACCTCCACCCCCCCACTGTGACAGTAACAAAGGGGGAAATTCTCAGAAATAAAGCCAAAACTGCCAAAGTAGAAAGAAGAATGTTTATGGTCTTTGCTTTTTTTTAGTAATGAAGATTTTATTGATCTGTGTGCAATGCATAATTCAGTAGATCAGGAAGTGATTACTTTCAGATGGAAACCTTGTATCTCTAAAACCATTCCTCTATTATACACTTCTTTAGCCTGTCTGTCTGCTATATTAACCATATATGATGTGTTGAACTAGATCTGCTATTTTCACAGCTTTTTTGAGACACTTTTTATAAAGTAGGGCAATAAATCATAAAAAAAGTTTATTTGAATTCTATAAATCAAAATTTTCTGCCCAACAGCAATGATGAACTGCACGGCAGCATTCTATATCCAGCTATTGTAGTATCTAGGCTAGAGATGCCAGTCTGGTAGAGAATCTGGTTGTTATTCGAAATTGCAACAGTGACATTTTTTTGCAACATAAAACTAACTAAAACTAGACTAAAACCTTTTTAAGTTTTAGTCGACCAAAACTGACTAAAAGCATCACTTATAGTTATGACTAAACTGTGACTAAAACTAATAACAGTTCAGACTAAGACTAAATTTAAGATGGCCGTCAAAAACAACACTGGTCAAAGATTTATTTAAAAGATGTCAGATTTGTGTTTATCGCTTTAGTTTTTCTACGAAAAATCGACTTTAAACTACCTCCATGGGCGTTTATCTCTTTAGACATGTACAAAGAAACAATTAAGGTCAGACTGCTATACCCTTCAAAAAAACACCAAAAAGTAAATAATTAAATATTTATCTCAATGGGGTTACACAAGTCAAAAAGGTTGGGAAATACTGATCTAGCAGAAAGATCCTGGAGAATGATTTCGATGTGACTTTTGAGACCTAGTTTTTCTGGAACTCAGCAAATGAGGTTTAAATTGCCCAAAAATACATTTTGGCCAAAAAAAGAAAACAATACATAAAGTGATGTTAAGGTGCATTCAAACCAAAGAACAGACACGTATCTGCAGTAATTTCTCAAGCACAGAGGGGAGTTCATTATTGTGCATTTCAGATGCACAATGGCTTCAGGGAGGACTGTGCCATCAAATAGAAGGAGCTTGAGCTCTGTGAAGCTGACAGCCCACCAATGTAAAAAAAAACTGTCAAATAGACTGAAAGGTTAGTGCTTCGTTATTGCATGATTATGCAGTTAAAATGATCATTTGTGCTACTATTGTTTCAGAGGTGGATTTGTCGTTACCACTGGCAACCCCATAGCATTTCCTGTCAAAATCTCACCATCGCACATCAGAATAAAAGCACAAGTGAAACGTAACATTACAGATTGCTACTAAATTATTCCCGAAGCACAAGTATTGAATCTGATAAAGAAGACCATGGATTGTTGGAAAAACCCCGGAAACAGTGAAAAAGTAGTCCACTTTGGGTCATCCAAAGCTGTGCCTGGATGACAGTTAGATTTATGTGTCTTCCTTGTATCTAGGCAGAGAGCACCAGTGCTGGGGAATGGCAGCAGCTGGCGGGGGCCTGTGCTGGAGGTAAGTGAGGATTGGCTTTTTAAAAGCCACCTGAAAACCTCTTCAGAACATTCCTTATTTCTTCCTTTAACATTATTTCCTCTTTATTCCATTTTAACTGAAACAGTCCATGATTTTCTTGCCGTGTTGCGATTTTAGAGAAGTTCAGATTTTTAACATCAACTTGACAACACCACAGTTCTGTTACGCTGACTGCCCTCACTGCAGTTTCCATAGGGACATTATGTAAATCTACCGCTCTTGCTACGAAAACCTAATTTGTTGTGAATGTACCTTTACTCTTGCCAAAAAAGGAAATAAACAAACTAAAACACAATGGCAACAACATCTCAGTGACATCTGTAGACAGACTGGTTGAAAAGTTCTGCATGTTTTTTGACAAAAAAAAAAAAAATCAACAGGCAGACCCCTACTGTTTTAAAGCAATGCAAATGTGTTTCAAATCAGTAAATTCAGCGTGTTTTTGGCTTTCATCTGCTATGCATCTTTTGCAGTTGAGCTGTGTGTTGTGGAATCCAGGCCGGCATAAACAGAAACTTGATAAAAAAGTTGCATTTTGTCTATCTGTGTGCTTTTCTTCATGGTTTTAGAGCTGTGGTCATGATGAGTCTGTGCCAGTCTCAGAGTTAGTGAGTGCGTGTTACTGTTGCTAATGAGGGAAAAACCCTCATAAAGGAAGTCGTGAGCTTAAGACGTAACTATATTCACACTTTAGGTCTTAATCCTCATCTCAGAGTTTCCTTTTGGATCCAATATCTTTGTGGGACAAAATTACAACCAGCTCTATCAATGTTTCCGTCATTGTTTGTATTTGATCTTTCTAATGCCTCCATCCTGTGGAGCAGTATGTGTTTTTACAAATTTGATAAGATGTCTGAACAATGGATACATAATATATATCTGAATATATTCCTTCTCAAACTATTTTTGGCTAGCATTAATCTGACTGAACCACATTGTTTCAGTTATAGCTTTGTTATTTAGGACACTTGACATCATTGTTGGACAGAAAAACATTTTTTTTTTGGCATGCCTCCCAAATTTTCCCAGTTAGCATTTAGATGGCATATAACAGTTGTTGGCCTTTTAGGTATTGATTCCTAATTAATGAAGTATATCTATAAACCTAATGCTCTCCTTTTCCCCTCTGTAATTCCCTAGATGGCAAAAAAAATAAACTCCAAACTGGATCATCTTGGTCAGGATTCAACACTTTACATAAAAAAAAAAATTACAGGGATAAAATATTGTTACCATAACAAAAAATGAAAGAAATCTGAGGAGTTATATGAATGAGGTCAAAAAACTGTTTGGCTCTAGTCCAATTTCTTGATTCACTGTCGCTGCCAGCGCACCCCCTCAACCCCACTTAACCGTCTAATGAGCAATTAAGAGTGCAAATTTGCTGGAGTGCCTTAGTGTAGTCTATAATATTAGAAATGCCTGCACATTGGTATTTCTAAAATTTAACTTTTAATCTTGTGGATTATCTGTAAATAGCCCCTTTATCTCTAAAGCATGAGTCTAAATCAACATAAGAAATATGAACTTAAATTATTATTCACATGTGAATGAACATAAACTTAGTTTATACTGCTATAGTAGGTTTATACAGGAGGAAAAATAAATTCAGATTTCTAATTAGCAGCTCACAGAAACTCTAATAAACTTAATAGGTAGAGAATATATAAATATACTTCAACATGATTTCTCAAAATGACTTTTAGGTTTAATACACGGGAATTTTGTTAAAATCAACAAAAAAATGTCCTTTCCTTTTTCTACTGTAAAAAAACAAGGCTCTGAAAACTTTTTCCCCATCTTTATTGGAGTGCAAATGTCTTTATACCTGACATAGATAATGCTTATTGATCTGATGGTAAAAGATTGATTTGATAAGAGGTAGTTCATGATTTACTGCAACGGTTTCCTGAAAAGGTTACAAGCAGTTAATATCTTAGCTGCATCAAATCCACTCGTCTGATTAGATTAGTTCGTCCTGGAGAATAAAGCTTGACAGAGTGAACAAATTTCATTGTCTAATCTAAAAAAAGCTGCTATGGTTTATGCAAAAATTATTTTATAAACTTTTCCATGTTTTCTTTGATTATAAGAGAGAGGCTGATTTTTATTTATGTAGAAAAGTAGTTTAGAGGCAGTTTCACTAATTGTTCTGTGTTGAAAACACACAGAGTATTGATTTTATAGGCAGTTAGGCAATATTATTATTTTTCATACGCCGTTGCTTTATTACTAAGCTGCTACGCAGATAGTCCCTGTTTCCCACCCCGGATTTTTGTTATTGCATAAATTCTAACCTTCCTTTCTTGTGTTTCTTGTAAGCTGTTTCATGCCATGGTCCGCCTAATTGTTAGAGTTTGCAAATAATCTTGATTTAGACTACAGAAAGATGCAGATGGAGCCATATAATGCAGGTAATAACAGCTTAGAAATGTTTCATAGAAAACCAGATTTCTTTGCTTTTAGGTTTAACAGTTGTGGAAGTTGTTTAGAGAAAAGAAAACGTCACATAAACAGAAAGCTATGAGTAACTGTTTTGTTCTGCAGTGTTTTCTGACCTTGGCCTGCTCTTCATCCCCTTTGGCGGCAGCTGCGTTCGCTTCACTGCTTTCATTTCTGTCCGCGATTGTGCTCTTTGCCAGCATATGCTCTGCTTCGAAACCGCCAAGGCTCATCTCAGGAGAGCGCAGCAGAGGCTCAAAGGTGCTTTGGTTTGGGATGAGAAGGGGATTGCCAGCGTGACCCCCTGTGAGCCCCTGGGTCAGCTGATCTAGCTGAAGGCCCGCCTCCAGTGGCCCGACCGGATAATCTCTGAGAACAGGCAGCGTGTGGATGCCGTAGCAGAGGCGTCCGTAGAGCGGGGCAGAGCCTGGCCTCTGCTGGGGGCCCAGTGAAGGGTGCGGGTGACGGCTCCAGCTGTACGTCCTGGCTCTGGGCAGATTCTGCTGGGTGTACCATCTGTGCCAAGAGATCAAAGTCATGAAATAATGCACACAAACATCCACAAGCCACCATGTATGAAGTTTGTTTTTATCTTTGGGAATGACTCACATGTTCCCGTTGCTGTGCATGTGCTGTATTCTGTGCATGCTCTGCAAAGCTGTGATGTCAAAGGCTGCAGTGTCTGCTTCCCCTCCCCCCTCATCATCGTAGGATATGATGTTTTCCCTGACATCATCCTCCTCAAAGGGTGAGTGGGAGTCTCGCTTCTGATGGCGCAATGACAGCGAGAGAGCACACACCACTAAAGGGCAAAGAACAGACATACCCACATACTCCACTGATGTTCCAGAAGCAGCCTGACACAACCTCTTGGCGTCTTTCAAAAAGTCACTAAAAACATACTAGGAGTTTTCCAGAAATGTCACACAAATAGCTGAACTTACCCAGCAGAGTGGTGACACAGGCCAGCATGGCGAGCAATGTGACCAAACTGAAGATGAGAGACGGCGAGGCCGACGGCGCGGGGAGGCAAACTACCTTCCTCTCCCATCTCGGGTCCCTCTGTCTGCCCCTGTTCTCAGTCTGCATGCCTCCTTGCAGACACGGACAAATGGTCACGGTGACTGTGCCAGTGTTAGTCAAACCCGAGGCCCCGTCACGCAGCACGACTGGCACGTAGAGGGTGAGTAGAGAGGAAGAGAAGTCAGGGAGGGGCTCCAAGGCTGACTGCAGCACCAGGCTGGCTGTCACACCTGATAATGGGACAACACATCAAGCATGTCACTGCATACAAGCACGGACCACTTCTGTTGCAATCAAATGGTGTCAAGTTTCCGCATGAAATATAAAACAATGGCTGCAGGGGTAACCTCCGGATTCTCTGATGGTGAGGTTGAGAGATGAGCTGGACTCAGTAGGGATGCTGAAGTGAATCGGGGTTTCCTGTCCTCCCTGATCCTTGTCGACTGCTCTTAGAACCTGGACCACCTGTCGATCAAAGATCCAGATCATCATTTTATTAGCAGCCTAGAGTTTTGGGGAAACCCCAAGAGTCATGTAACCAACTAACAATTTATAGTAAGCCGTTCCAACCATATAGATTAAGTTAATAGCAGCTATGTATTAGTTTTAACTCCCTGACTCAGTTCCCGATGGGGAGACCTTCTTCTGCAGCTACAGGAGCAAAGGTTTTGTTTCGTCCAACTGCACATCTTCACACTCACGTAAAATAAGCTAAAGTTCAATCAGAGCTGAGAGTGTTATAGAGAATAAACAAGTTTTATTTCCTGTTTACTTCTGACACCAAGCTAATTCTGCAACTTTTTTATGGTTGCACAGGTCAGCATTTATTAACACTGCATGGCAATGGCTCTAAAATGCGTACATTCTTATTTATTTCTCATAAAAAAAAAGGTGTTTGATCAATTCCTCACTCTTATACGATATTGAACTGAGAGGATGATATGAGAAAATGGCCTAATGCTACAATTATAAGTAAATGTTCATACTTTGTAGAGTCCATGGCATTAGATAGGAGCCTTATAAAAAAAACAAAAATAGCTTGGACGCTTATCAACACCCAGTGATCAGCTTGGCTTTGTTTACATAAGCACATTCAGACACTATGGTGCTCATCAAGGCCGATGTCATGGAGACGGTATGCATTGTCAGTAGAAGTACTTTGTTTATTTATCAACAGTAAGCATTGGTTTCAAGAACTACTTAACATACAATAATGGAAATGTTTTTTTTTCAGCTTGAAGTCTTTATTTTGTAATAATAGTCTTTGTTTTAAAAACTTATTCAGAATTAGCATTAATGGAGTTGGCCTATATCATTTTCACAAAGTGAATCAAACTGTATACTCAAACAATTAATCATTATGTGAATTATATTTTCATAAAATATTTTTACCAAGTACTTTGGTCAGATATTAGATGACTCATTTTAGTTCTGCTTAGTAAATCAAAATAAGTTTTTTTTAAAACTATATTTATAATTTTTTCCATTTGATAATTATGCACCTCTTAGTGACTGACCTTTGAAGATTCTTAATAAAAGGCGCTAAATTACACATGCAATTTTTTTTCTTAGTAGATGCAAGCACTGGGCATCTGCAGATGATCTATAAGGATTGCTGCACAAATATTATGATGTGCAATAGGGGTGTAAATAATAATCGTTTTGTATCGATGCATCGATCCAACAGCTGACGATCCGATGCATCGACACGTCCGCAAGAGAATTGATTCATGTTTTTTTTTTCCTCCGTTCTATTTCTATCCATTTGCTCCTGGGCGTAATTCTCCTCCCGTGCTGCGGTGGCGCTAAACCTATTTTGCCCTCCTACCTCGCTTCCTGGTTTAACTCTTACAGCAGTGTGTTGCAGTGAGCTTGACACAGACATTTTTAAATTATGCTTAATATTGAAGCGTGGTCTGTGCTACACGCTGTGGGTCTAGATACGGCCGAGGTGGAGAGGAAGTGAGGGCGAGTTTAGTCCGACAACGGAGGGACATGAGGGCCAAAAAGAGCGGAGATCCAGGTGTAAAAAGGGTCCCAGCGTTCTCGCGCACCTCGCTCTTCTAGCGGGTCAAACTTCACGAGTTGTTTTCCGCAATTTCGGTCATAAAAACAAAACAAGCTGGCCTCCTGTCTGCGGCACTGTTTGCGGTCAGCTACAATTTGGGAGAGGAGCAGCGGAGCGTCTCTCAAGGGGGCGGGGACATCTGGAGCCGAGGTATTGAATTGAACTCATTGCACTGATTTTCTGCATTATTTTTGCAGTATTTTTTGATGCAACTTTTCTATGTCTGTTATTTGCTGTTGTTTCTAAAAAAAAATGCATAACGATATTACAGCTTTCATTGATTTATTTCAAACTTGAAACTTTGTTTAGCCTGTAAGGTGTAAAAAACAAAAATTTTTTTACAGATTAATCGAATCGAATCGTGGTGTATTCTTGAGTATCGAAAATAATCGAATCGTTCGGTCAGGAAATCGATACTAATTCGAATCGCCATGATGGATGTGATTTACACCCCTAATGTGCAAACTAGTTTGGTTTCACGCATTAAAATGGCAAATGTTAAAATGTGTTAAAATGTGTTCTAATGGAAGTTTAAAAGTGAACATGTGGTTCTAAGCAAGTAGTTGGAGCTAATAATGTAGGGCTTCAACTTATTTTTTTTAACTTATCTTTTTGGTTAATTGCTTCATGATCAGATAGAAAAAGGTTCCTTAAAGGTTTTTTTTTTACAGGATTAAACCAGGTATAACTAAAACCTTTTCACTTGTGGAGCTCTAAATAAAGCATACTCACAGTTTCTTTTTTTTTTTTATCTTAATTGCAAAATATTTATATATATTTTTAAAGTTTAAGTGGGTTGCTCTGTCCGGTAAAGGCAAGTTTTGGAGTCTCAATACGCCATTAAACAATTAATTGATTAGTAAATTAGTTGACTATTATTTCAATAGTCGCTTAACCCCTATGATACAGTTATTAAGAAAAAATACATATTATTATACCAAATCAAATTTATAGAGCACTTTACACAGGTAGCCTATCATTAAATGGTAAGAAGAAAAGTAAAAACAAAATGATTAAAAAACTATAAAAATGAAATATCATTAAACATGGAAAAAAGGTCCAAACATAAAAGAATAGAATAGAAAATAGCTTTATTGTCCCACTATGGGGAGATTCCGGTGTTTACAGCAGCAAAAAGATTATAGAAAAAATGGTCACACAGATATGGACCTTAGAAAAATGTATAAGAATAATATAATAGATAAGATGTTTCTGTGCACGCTCCTTTGACATTAAAATGTTTTTCTAAAAGCATAGCACCATATTTAAATTTAGTCTTTTTTTGTTTCAGTTTAATTGATTGATGGTTTCCTGTCCTGCTGCATTAATTTGTGGCTGCCTGGAAAGACTTTCTCTCCACCCTGTGATACCAACACCTCCATTGTGGTCAAAATGACTGCAGGTATTTTTGCGTGTCAGTTTGCACCTGAGTTTCAGAAGTACTAAAAATACGCAAAAACTTCGGCTGCTGTTGAGTTTCAGATTTAGGAAAATTGCTTTTCATATGGTCAATGTTTACATTTATACATCCATCATCTAGGAATTTGCACAGCTTGGTCATTAGAATATCATCTACATATTGATGAAGGCAAACATGGAGAAAAACTGTTTGTAAAAGCTGTCTGCTGAAACGCACTTTGCGCCTCTCCTGAAGCATGTTTGTACCTGTTTCATGACATGCAAACCTTCTGAAGATCAGGCCCTTGGTATTGATCTCTGATCTTGAACCATAAAGTCCAGTTTTTCTGATCATAACATGAAAAATGTGACAAAGTCAATGAGTTTAAATTATTTCTAAAGCATAATGAGAAAAAATTAAAACTGTTTTGAGCAATTGCTCAGAATTTGACTACTTTTTACCAAAAAACATTCATAGAGCAGAAAATCCTCTCTCTCATCCCCACGGAAAGCTTTTTTTTCCCCACTGCTGCTGATGCAAAGTGAACATTTCCAGCAGTAGCTGCTGCTTTAAAGCATCTAATTGCATCACTAGAGTCCCGCAGTGGCTGCATGTTGCACTTGAGTTGGTTCAGTTTCAACAACTGCAGTGCAAGTTAAATGTTTAGCTGTTGTTATTAGTATCATTTATAAAGCCAAGGAAGGAGTAAAATATGTGGAGGCTTTAACCTTGGGAGTTCTAAGCGCAGAATAAAGAAAAAGACAGAAAACACATTCAGTCTGCAGACAGAGGGAGTAAAACGAGGAGCACAGCCTTGAGTTCAGTGTATTATGAGGCTAAAACTAAACAAGAACAGACCTGACCGGGGGCACTGGAGTCACATACTGATGTTGCGTACTGCCTGTCCAACTCCGGCGCATTGTCATTCTGGTCTAGTGTTTCTATGGCAACCACAGCCCTTGACACAAGATTTGGGTTGTCTGAGAGAGAGACAGAGGGGGAAATGAACACTAATGTTCAAATTATTATAGAAAATCCACTATTTGTACTCCACTGAGTGAAATATGAGTTGGAGAAGCTGCGCTGCTCCAGGCGCCTCAGGGCAGCGCGGTCTGTCATACCCCTCCGTGTGGCGATGACTGAGATATTATGCCACTGCTCCTGCTCACGGTCCAACTCCATCACGGCGCTGATAAAACCCGTGTCAGAGGCAATCCGGAACAAAGCCTCCGGGTCTGAATGGGGATCGATGGAGTACCTAAGATAAGGGAGGAGGCACTAGTGTAAAAAAGCTAATGAGGACTGAGCGGCTAAATCGTGAGTGATTGATGGTGAAACAGGCACCTGATGTTGGCACTTTGTCCCGTATCTGGATCCACGGCGTAGACCCGGCCGACGGCGCAGACGGGAGGGCAGTTCTCAGACACATCCAGGTGGTAGACCGCCTGGGAGAATCGAGGCGGCTCGTCGGCATTAAGGATCATCACCCGGACCGTTGCCTGGTCCTTAAAGGGTCCTTTCCGTATAAACCGAGGATCAACAAAAGGGTTCACCACTTCCACGGAAAAAGTGTATGAATTGCGTGTTTCGTAATCCAGAAGCTGTAAGAACGAGGCAGAGAGAATCAGCAGGGGTGTTATTACTCATGTTAACAGTATGTGCTTTCTTTTTGATTCAACAGAAGACTCTGTCTCTCATTAAGGTATTATCTTCTTTCTAAGCAGCTTAATTGCAGTTTTCTGTGCAATGACTTCTTCTCTTCCTCCATTGAATTTATTATTTCATAGCACATGTTGTCAAAACCCCTGGTGGTTAGCAGTCATCTTCCAGCGAGGTTCTGCTAACATGACCTCACTTCACACGAGCCACAGTTTCCAACCGGTTCATCATTTCTCATTCATAGCTCGCTGCAGAGCGCCAGTGGTCAGCTGCTTTCATCAGCAGATGTTGTTTAAAACATTCAAGATTAAAAAGAGTGGCCGACTAAACATGCAATAGTTTGTAAAACTATTCATACTCATTAAACTTTCTGCCCATTTGTCTCATTTAAACCAAAAACTTCCATGTATTTTATTCGGATATTATGCTAAAAACCCAGACTGGGAAAAGGGGGGATTTTTTTTTTATGTTTTACAAATAAAGCAACTGAGATAAGATGAATGCATATGTATTTATTGCATATATATACTAAGTCAGTACTTTACTGGACATTCTCACTAAGGCTGCAGCTGCAAGCCAATTGTGGGTAAAGCTTCATATCTAAAGACAAACTAGACATTTCTACTTTATAAATGAGCTCAGGCTCAGTGAGAACAGATGGAGAACATCTGCGAACAACAGTTTTCAATTCTTGTTAGAGATTCTCCCTTCGTTTCAGGTCTGGGCTTTGCCTAGGCCATTCTTACATAATTATATGCCTTAATCGAAACTTCCATACTTCCTGTTTTAGATGCGTCTCTGCTGCAGTATATCTGATTACAATAATTTCATCACAGCATGCCTCTAAGTTCTGTCTTGTTTATATTATGTTAATGTGGGACATTTGGATCCTGAGGACCAGGATTGAAAGAAAAATGGTAATCTAAAGTTTTTAGTTTAATCTATGTGCCTCTGTTTAAATTCATTGTCGTCCTGGAGGATGCACGTCCACCATGGTCTGAAGTCTCCTGCATTGGTAGATGATTCAAAAAGATGAATTAGACTAAGACCAATTACACTGAACCACAGAACATGTTTAAAGACTGCAGGAGAACCTGACTTTGACACCTAGTAGCCTTCCTAATAGGATCACCTACTCCTACCAGGTTTCACCCAGTTTCCCATTGACTCTAAACAGCTTCTCTGTTTGCAGCAAACATGGCAGCGGGGGCATTATTATGTGGGATTAGAGTCTTCAGCACAAAGAAAATAATCCCATAGGATAACGCTGCCATGTTTCAAAGTTTAGACAGTGTGTTCAGGATTATCTGGAGTCTGTTATGCCATCTTTGGTGGAATGCACCACCAAAATTCATTTTATCAAATCATCTCATAACATATTTCTGCAAACTTAACTTCTAACGGCTTTACTTCTGCCTTTCTTTGATAAACACTGGAGGAATAAATTATAAGACAAATAGCTGTTTTGTTAAATATCGAAATTATACTCCAAACTTGAACTATTTGGTTGGAAAGCCATGTGTTCATAAGGTTATACTATTATATCCATTATCAGAAGATGGAAAAAACAGAGCTCCATGCTCAAGGCTTTGGATATTTTGTTCTAATCTAACTTTGTTTTATTCCTTTACAACAGAGGTAACCAATTAAAAATAAGCAGGTTTCGAATAAAGAAAATAAACAACCAGTAAAGGTCCGGAGACATTTCTAATCATAATCTGTTACTTTAAACAGAATTTAACACTGAAATAGAAATATTGTTTTTATGCATCCATGTTATACATTTAATAAATTCTAATGTGTTTTTTGAAGTAGAGAACAACAATCTTTCAGTTTGGTATATAGACAATTTCCTGATTCACATATTTTATAAAACACCTGAACTGACCGTTTTCTTTTTTCTTCTTTCTTTTTTCTGTCTTAATGAGAGCAGTGGGGTTTATGCTGCCCTGCGAGGCTTTAAACCTGGGTTTAAATGGAGACAAAGCCATTCTAAAGCACATATCAGGGTGCTCATTTTGAGCCTGGATCCATATTTATTTTTGAATATGTTCATATTGGAGAATCCACCATAAACATATTCATATGGAGCATTCACAGCAGCAGGTTGAGCCAAACATACTCAAAATGTGCAGGGTCATCTTTGAGCACAACATTTCACTTTTCTTTCACCAGTTCACCACAGTTCTTCCAGCAGTCCACACTTTCTCTGCTCTCTTTTTCTCATCATCTTCTCTTCTTTCCCATCGCCCGGCTAACCACAGGTTTGCCTGCTGTGTCTAAAAGTAGGAGCAGCAGCAACCCAGACTGACAGCAGCTCATTGGTTAATTTGTATCACATACAGTCTGGTCCCGGCACTCCAGACGGCTTTACCATTTTAACAGGAGAAGCGGCGCAAGTGAAATTAGACACTGTCATCGGACAACATGCGGTAACTTTTAAATGTTTTAAATCAGGTTGGGACCGGATTAGCCAGCAGGTGGGTCCGAATTCAGATGACGGTCCGCTAATGACCATGACCTCTGCTTCACAACTTTCTCCTGTTATGTTTCTTTGTTTTAATAATCCAGTTGTCTTATAATTTCTCAAATAAATATCTAAGTCCTTCACAGAACAGCTAGACTTGCACTGAATTCCAAACTAATAGGGGGCTGAGGAATGCAAAAGGTTGCACCAGATTCCAGGTAAGGGTCTCAGAGTTAAAAGAGAATTTTTAAAGATTGAACTTAACTATTTTCCTGATGATTATGCAGTGTTGCGTGTTGGTGTCCCAAGAAAACAAACCAAAGTATGGAATTATAGCTTCAGCAAATGGGATATGAATTAAAGAGTAAGGCACTTTACAGGCTTTTACGTTTTATGATTTTTAAATGTATCCTGTGATAAACCCTAACTGCTTTGCAGACATTCAGCAGGTGCCCTCCAGTCGTCACTCACCTTGTTCAGGACAATGACCGCCTCTTTGGCTCTCCGAGTGATGTTGAAAATCTCTGCCTCCTCTGCATCCAGGATGGTAAACTCCAGCTGTGCGTTTTTTCCCAGGTCAGGATCGGTGGCAGTGAGACGGCCCACTTCCACACCTGGTGCAGCTAGCTCCGACACAGAGAACGACCATGCGCCTGCAGGGGGGTGGGGGGGCACAATGAATGGAGCAGTTTGAGAGCTGGCACTGAATGTTCATGAGGGCGCTGTTTGGCTCCCTTCTGACTCAAAACAAAGCTGGCATTACCATAATGCATGCAGCTGCTCTCCTGCACAGATTTCATGATGAAGTTTAGAGCATTGTTCCCCCTCTGTCATATTTATCATCGTATATCACAGGTCTGCTTGTGGTGCAAGAGTTATTGGTTGGTGCAAAAATCGCAGTAAATCATTCAAGGAATAAGATTTCTTCTTGAGGCTATGCTAATGTATAAAAGCGGCTAAACAACCCCCTGTTTCTGTGGAAAAATGAATTCTACAGTAACTGCAGTTTGGGGAATATATAGACATGTTTATTAGGCAGGGGGCAAGAAAATATGAAATAAAGAATATACAGTTTTCACTTCAAGGAAAATTCTGAGATGGAATGCATGGCTGGTACTGATCATTTTAATAAATATGAAACAGCATATTTTAGGCAAACATGATACCTGAAGCCATAAAACCATAAATCTTTTCTGAATTCTGATGTAAAGGTTGTTCCTGCAGGAAAAAAAATAAGATTTCCTTATTGTGTATAATGACTAAAACAATTATTCACTTGGTTACAACTCCAACAAGAGAAAAAAAAAATAATACAGTAACAGCTTTGTGTTAAAGGTACAGAGATGTGGAGCTATCATTGTATTTTAGAGATAATAATCCTGCAGATGGAGCAGAAGCAGAGCAATTGACTGTTTTATGCTTAATGATATGGATGGAAGTACATTTTGATTTAATAGCTTTTTTTTTTTTACTTTCTCTCTGATCAGTCTGAAAACCCTCCTGTTGCTGCCTACTGCTCTTTCAGGACAACAGCTACACCATCTCTCCCTTTCCTTTCACTAACATTTCATTTCATGTCTGAATTTCTGTGCTTTGTGGAGCTGGTAAGTGGCATGGATGCATTAAGAAAGTAAAGAAAGTGTTAATTTTGTCTAAAACTGACATCCGCGACACATCATGGTGCACATGGGATAAACCCTGCAGGCAAAGAGCATTATGGGATTTTATTTTTTTAGCATTACTTCAGCATACAGTATCTTAATAAAAAGAGCATGAAAAAATTTTCAGCACATAAATTACCAGGAATTCCAGTTGCTGAGATCATTTTACTCAAATATTTCCTAGACAATCATAATCGGTCTGCGCCAGGTGACGTCGATGTTTACCTCGGGCGCGGTGCATCGTGGGAAAACCACCATACAGGACTGTCTCAAAAATTAGAATATTGTGATAAAGTTCTTTATTTTCTGTAATGCAATTAAAAATCATGAAATGTCATACATTCTGGAATCATTACAAATCAACTGAAATATCGCAAGCCTTTTATTGTTTTAATATCGCTGATTATGGCGTACAGCTGAAGAAAACTCAAAAATCCTATTTCAAAATATTAGAATATTTCCTCAAACCAAGTAAAAGAAAAAAATTATAACTGCAAAACAAAATCAAACATTTGCAAATGTCCATTAATGCACTCAGTACTTGGTTGGGAATCCTTTTGCACAGATTACTGCATCAATGCGGCGTGGCATGGAGGCAATCAGCCTGTGGCATTGCTGAGGTGTTATGGATGCCCAGGATGCTTCAATAGCAGCCTTTAGCTCATTTGCATTGTTGGGTCTGGTGTCTTTCAGCTTCTTCTTCACAAAACCCCACAAATTCTCTATGGGGTTCAGGTCAGGGGAATTGGCAGGCCAATTAAGGACAGTAATGCCATGGTCAGTACACCAGTTACTGGTGGTTTTGGCACTGTGGGCAGGTGCCAGATCATGCTGGAAAATGAAATCATCATATACATAGAGCTTTTCAGCAGATGGAAGCATGTAGTGCTCTAAAATCTCTTGGTACACAGCTGCATTTACTCTGGACTTGATGAAACACAGTGGACCAACACCAGCAGCTGACATGGCTCCCCAAACCATCGCTCACTGTGGGAACTTCACACTGGATTTCAAGCAACTTGGATTTTGCACCTCTCCTGCCTTTCTCCAGATTCTGGCGCCTTGACTACCAAATGACATACAAAACTTGCTTTCGTCTGAAAAGAGGACTTTGGACCACTCTGCAACTGCCCAGTGCTTCTTTTCCATAGCCCAAGTCAGACGCTTCTTCCGTTGTCTTGAGTTCAGAAGTGGCTTGACCCTGGGAATACGGCTATTGTAGCCCATTTCCCGGACACGTCTGTGAACAGTGGCTTTTGATACCTGGACTCCAGCTTCAGTCCACTGTCTTTGAAGCTCCCCCACATTCTGGAAGCGGCTCCTCTTCACAATGCTGTTAAGGCTGCGGTCACCTCTCTTGGTTGTGCAGCGTTTCCTGCCACATTTCCCCCTTCCAACACACTTTTTGTGAATGTGCTTTGAAACTGCACTCTGTGAACAGCCTGCTCTTTGAGAAATTTCTTTTTGTGTCTTACCCTCTTGATGGATGGTGTCAATGATGGTCTTCTGGACAGCAGTCAGATCAGCAGTCTTCCCCATACTTGTGATTTAGTTTACTGAACCAAGCTGAGTGTTTTTCAAGGCTCAGGAAACCCTTGCAGGTGTTTCGAGTTAATGAGACGATTCAAGTGATTAGTTGAATAGCCTACTAGTATACTTTTTCACGATATTCTAATATTTTGAGATAGGATATTTGGGTTTCTTAAGCTATAAGCCATAATCAGCGATATTAAAACAATAAAAGGCTTACGATATTTCAGTCAATTTGTAATGAATCCAGAATGTATGACATTTCATGATTTTTAATTGCATTACAGAAAATAAAGAACTTTATCACAATATTCTAATTTTCTGAGACAGTCCTGTATTAGGTGGAAAGTAAAGCTCAACTTTCATACGTGTAAAACCTTTCAAATTTCAAGTTCTGCACGTTGGAATTGAGGCGGAGTTAACTCGGGTTGTTCTTCCTACTCCGTGCGCGCTCCCGATGAGGGGATACAAATTTTCGCAGGGATAACTACCTTGGCACGACACCGTACGGTTATTTCGCATTCTGCTTACTTTTTTCCATATAGTCAGAGAAACAAACTCAATCCTTTAGTCCTTCGTTTAGCTATGCTGCAGTTGTTTACACTATGCCTTTTCCACCAAAAATGGCGTCTTAGCAACAAATGTCACGTGACTGGCGGAGACCGATTGTATTTGTTTATTGCCAAAGATATTATAAATGTCTCAGTTATGTATAGGATGTGGGTCAAATTAAATTCTGTTGTTAAATGCTAAATTTGATAATTTTATCTGGATTACATCTGGCAAAAACATTTCATTGCGTAATAGAAATAAAGGATTTTTAAATAGCTGTTGTAGATGAATAAACTGAAAAGTGTGGCATGACTTTGTCTTATTTGCTGAATAAATTCTGGTTAAAAAGTTGCTTTCTAAGGTGACCCACATGTAATTTAATCTACGTTAGTTACCATTTATCATTTTTGTTAACGGAAGTTAAAGGAAGGCCCATTTGCATTTAAGTTCAGACTATGTAGGAGGAAGATATGGAGAGGGTGGTCTTGTTTCATAAGTCAAAAATGAAATGTGTAACCTTTGTTTTCAGGAAAACAAAAACTGTAATTCCTGTTGAACACTTCCCCTATACAAAACCAAAAAGGCAGATTGGAATGGTTTAAATAAAAGTATTTCGCATGAAGGAATGGCCCATTCAAGTCCAAAACTCATCATTTGAAATCTGAGTTAAACTAGAAAATACTTTTTCTCTGGTTATTTCCATCTAATCTGATTAAGCTTGACAGAAACAGATAAAACCCCAGTAAAATACATTCACTTGCATTTCTAATGTTTTTTATATATATTTTTACATGTTTGAAAAATGTAATTATAACTCGCTTTAAATGGGACATCCCATAATGTATATGTCTCTGATTTATCCCAGAACTACTTTATCTGAAATCATATCAGGGCCTTAAACATTGAAGGCATTGCTTTTGAATACTACTGTAATAACTTCTGATCTCCAACCTCCTTTTAAAAAAGCCTGAAGCTCCTCTGGGATTCCCTCCTAAAACTTTGAAAAGTTCTGGTTTCAGACCAATTATCTCCAAAAATTCAAAGCTGTCTTTTTGGTTCTAGTGAGAAAACAGCAAATGAACACTCTAAGAGTAACAGACATGAGCATGTTGATTACCACGCGCTAACATGGATATATTTCTAATTAAATGGAAGCTCAAAGTGGTTAGAGTCAAACGGCTGCTTGTTTCACTTTTCATTTCTGTGACTGACATTATATACGTCGGGAAAAAAGGCAACATTCTTCATATACTCTTACACTAAACAGCTCATTAATTAAAATGGTGTTTAATTAAATGTCAGGGTATAACATTAAACAATCAAACCACTGAAATGTGTCCTTTGTTCTATAGCAGTACTATGGGGCACTTTTTTCACCTTTACTTTTTTTCTTTTTTTTTGTCATGGTTAACTGATCCAGATCATCAAAACAAATTTTAAATCATATATTTTAACATAAGGACATGTCTCATAATCTTCATTACACCATGATATACTCAAATAAAGCTATGTAATAAAATAAAAACATCACTTAATGGTGTGTAAAAATGTTATTGCACTCTTAAGGTTTCTGTAATAAATGGCAGTGAGTCTTTAAAATCACATTCTACGCTGTATAAAGAAACGCATGCTCAGCACTGAAGAGTGTCATGATTTTGGCGCTGACGACTGGCTTGATTACTCATTTTATTCACCTGCCTAGTTCCGCCCAATTTCTCATTACTGCTTATCTGATCCACCTGCTCCAGGCAGCCTTTATTTAACCTGCCTGCTTCCAGCCATAAGGGCCAGATTATTATCGAGCCTGTTGTCAGAGTTTTCTATTGTACCAAAGTGTTTCTGATAGCCAGATCCTCACCTGTTCTGCCTCTGGACCTCTGACCCTGCCTGTACCGGTTCTGATCTGTTTG